ATTGACTCCCACGACTTGTAACAAAAAGGAGTGATCAGATTGGTACAGGCTTCACCTACCTCTCACCTGCTTGACTTGGTTATTTCTGACAGGACAGAAACGGCAGAGGGTGTTTTAGTTTTCAAACTAACACACAGCTAACAGGACTAACTCCCTGACAGCAAAGTCATGGCAAAAGTGTGGATACAGTCAATTTGACAAGTTTCTTACAGAGTAAATAAATAAGGGGCAAATTAGTATCTTTTGTCTAAAGATAAGAAACGTTCAGATGTTTAGTATCAGATTTTATATTATTTTTCAAATACTTAAAGAAAAAACAATAAGTGTCATCTCTCATCTGAACTGAATGGGAATCGACAAGAACTCCTAAATATACCTCCAGTTTTCCTTATCCTTCCCCCAGGTTAGACAAGCGATGTAAATGTTCAACCCATTAAAGAGCATCCTGTCACAGTTAACATAATTTTGTTTGACCAATTTCTGAAACCAACGGGTATTAGGTGTTTCACTTAAGTATGTAGTTATACACATCCTGCTGAACAGCAGTTAAATCAGGACAATGTTATGCATTTCTTTTTCTATATACCGAGTACACCATGATTGTGACCGTAATTGTTTTGCATATAAAAAATTCAAATCAGAAAAACAAATGCCAATGCAAACATTCATGAAATACACGAACATTGCATGTATCATTGCAGATAGCAACTTATATCAGACACTGAATTCAAAAGTAATAGGGCTTCAAACTCCGAAACAATTATATAATTACTTCAAAAACACTGTCTACAGTTCTGAAGAGGGACGTGTGTTAATAACAATCACCCAAATAAAATTAATGATATTAAAAATAATTTCCTTTTTTTTCCAGAATTTTTCTTGCAAGGCGAATGCATCAAATTCATGCAATACGCAATCTGCAACAGACTTACTTTCATTAGCTTATTGCCTCCATACCCAGTGCTGAAACCTGTTGTTTCCAGACAGTGTTATATCGTTAAGTTCCCATTTATTCGTCAGTGCTTGCCGACATTAAAACTGTATCTGTATTCTAATCTGACAATATAAATTTAGTCATGGAAAATTGTGTAACACTATCTGTGAACAAGAATGACCCACAACAGGTCGGAATTGCTTACCGGTGCCTGTTTCTTCTCTATTTCTAAACTAGACTGCTGAAAAGATGTTCAATTGACAACAGAAATATTTCCCAAAACTTGAGACCATGGGCCATCTCAGGTTGGACCTAAAGTATTAATATAGCATTACTTGACAATGACAGAAACATTTATACAATGTTTGTTAAAGGTGGTCTGGTGAAATTGAGAATTGTTTGTACCAGTTTTTGTCCTTTTTTCCTAATTGAACCCTATCGCTCTGTTCCCATGGACAGCCACATCGTGCATTTAAATCCACAGAATCCATTTCACCCAAAGATATAACTCTATCCAAAATAAGTTCAAATATCCTTTCACCTGTATTGAAGTTGTGTTTTAAAAGATTAACTCCTTATTCCTTTGCTGGTCCTGCCCCTCTGTCCCCAGCAGGGAGACATCCTTCACTTATACCAAATTAACTCCTTATTCCCTTGCTGGTCCCGCCCCTCTGTCTCCAGCAGGGAGACATCCCTCACTTATATCAAATTAACTCCTTATTCCCTTGCTGGTCCTGCCCCTCTGTCCCCAGCAGGGAGACATCATAGTCCATTTATATAAAGTTAAGTTCCATGGGTTCATGGATGCTCCTTGCGTAATTAGGTTAAAGTTCTTTTACACATTCTGAACTATTAGTCTGTTAATGGAAAAGTTGATAACAGACAGCATTAACTGGCGAGACTCCGTTGCAAAAACACATGCAAAGGCTATTTAGGCCAAGTGAGCTTATAAAATGGGTCTGTGTTGTAACCTCAACCTCAAACGCATACTAAATACAAACAAACATATGTAGCAACAGCATATACAACATGGCTCACATAATCAAATGATTTCATGAAAAACCATTTAACACATTTATGTTTTGTCTTTTTAATGCTGGGAACCAATATCACAAAACCAAGAAAAATTATTAAAACAACTTCAAAGTATTGAGTAATGGAATTTAAAAACGATGTAGATCACTTACAAAGATATGTCAGACATGGAGATTCAACAAAACCATAAGGCTTTTTTAAAAGTTTTAAGATATGCAAACATAATATAACTTGATGTACAAGTCTTTTCTGGTAGTTCTGATATTTTGTTTTCTCAGCTCCTGCAGACAATACAATTGTTTTTCAGTTCCTAGATGTCTGGAACAGAGCTGCACTCTACAATGTAAAGCTAATAGGAGCTGCATGAATCTTCAATTAGCATGGAAATTTGTCATAATTATATTATAGTTTATGGGATTTTGGAATAAAGTTTCTTTTAGATTTCAAGCACCGTCTTCAGGTTTTAATTAAATTGGCATTGCAGAAAAAAATGTATTTGAAGTCGATTGAACAGTTCAACAAAACTATATAAAGGCTTCAATGTAATGGAACTTTCAGTCCCCTATTATAGTAACCTGACACAGAGATTAAGAGACTGTTTGTGTAGGAGAGGCTGAGACACTGCGGCGTCGCCAGCTCTGCCAAATCACCATACATGTACTAAGACATCAAGAACTACTACAGCCAGTTAACCTTACTGAAATCAAGAAATGGGAAGGAAATCTAATTCTGGTACCCACTATACCTCCCTAAATACCATTGTTGTGTACAGCATTATATATGTTGGGCTGTTGAGAAATGTATAGAAAGATAAAGAGGGAAGATATCATGTTATTGATTCTGCTGGTATAGGTCTGTCAGCCACATGGTTCCTTGCCAACACAGCAACCTTTATATCAGCACAGAAGCAATTTATCTTTTATCAACATTTCCATAATTTTCAATATTTCTGAATTACTGCTAATAATGTTATTACAGTTCAAGTTGATCTTTGCAAACGAAATGAAAAATTGTTTTCATCAATGACACGAAAATAGAAAGAAAAAAAAAGAAAAAAATTACGATGCACCCGAGTACACAATGGCTTCTTGTATATATAAACAAATATCTGTAGATCTAGCTGACTCCCTTACAGCGCCAGGATATGTAAGAGATCCAAAGGCCTGATTAGATCACCTGTTGTTGTTTTTTAAAATTCATTTTAACTGGTAAAACATGCAAAAAATTTTGAAATTCAGTAATATGATATTGTACATGTTCCTGTAATTCCATATAGTATGGCTAAAATTTGTGCACCTAATTTTCCAATTTCAACAGTTGTGCCACACTTTTATGGCCTCCCCTACAAACTATCTTTGAATCTCATTGGCTCCTGTATGAAGTTAGAATCTGTCCACCAATGATTTCGGCAATTGTGCAATGCTTCTATGTCCCACAACAAAATGTGATTCCTTGACCAATGTTTCATAAGAAATGTAGGCAAGTTCTTGTCATCCAAATTTCAGGAGTACTCATCAAAAGGTAAAGCACTTTACAATCTGCCCTAATCAGGGCAAGGTAAAGTTGGACAGTTATTCGTTATTCGTTATACGTTATTCAAAATTTTACAGAAAAAATGCTGTAAAACAGATGCCGGTGCACGGATTTTGAAAGGTTGCACGTACAGGGTGTGCCAATGACAGCATTCACACCAAGTTTCATTAACATTGAAATTGGAACTCACCCCGAGCTAGGACCAGGAACATTGAATTTGAACAAAATCTCAATTTGACAATTTTCGGGTATAGGGTCCCAGGGGGTCTAGAAACCATGCCGATGCACGCTTTTTGAAAGGTTGCACGTATAGGGGGTGCCAATGACAGCATTCACTCCGAGTTTCATTAACATTGAAATAGAAACTCACCCCGAGCTAGTAGCGCTTTTTAGGAAAGGTTGACGGACGGACGCTGCGGTATGGCATAAGCTCACCATGGTCCTAAAAACATGTAGCCGCCTATCGGAAAGTAAAGTTAGACAGTTATTCGTTATTCAATAACGGCTTATGCCAACGTTATTCAATAACGAATAACGAATAACAAATAACTGTCCAACTTTACTTTGCTCCTAATCAGCACATCTTTCTGTTTCAAGTTGAATACTCTTAGCTCAGGGATCATCTTCAATACTTTGGTGTATGTCTGTTATACATTTGTATTTAATTTTAAAGAGCATCCTTTCAAAAATTCACCTTTTCCCCCCTTAATTGATTCCCTCCCTCTCTACAGGGGGCTGTATCATTTCCATTTTGGTTGTACAAAATAAAATGCCATTGTCCTAGGGAGGCTTCAAACAAAATGTAATGAGAGCCTCATTTTTGACTAGTAGTTTTAAACTTTTGAATGAAAAATTGAATGAACAATGAACGTTGTATGTGTTGTAAGGCAGAAACTAACTTGGCCTTTGGCCATTTGAATTTAACAGTTACATCTTGTATAGATTTTTACTTCATGTCTGAATTTTTATAAAATACATTAAAATATTAAACAGAAATTTTCAGAGCCATAATCAATCTAGCTGTTTACCCGGGGCTAAACCTCTGCATGCATCCTTGCATGTCTTGAATAAGTCTCATAAAATTTTCTTTAACAGGGATCATGATGCAGATGATTTATCTATTGTAAAGGATACTGGACTAAATTTGTGTCAGCTCTAATTTCACAGTAAAACAAATCGATGGATTCAAAACAACATCTAACAGTGCTGGTCAAGTGACAATTTTTAATTAACAATATCAAAACCACAAACTTAACATGGCATCAACTGGTATTCATACCATAGAAATATAATTCAATGTAATCAAAGGTGTATCACTGTACTTCATCATAATATTTTACTTAAATAATCGAATTTCCAGTTGATGTTGATTTGGAAAGTGTACCTTTCACCTGTACGTGTCAAAATAATGAACCGCCACCAACATTATTAGTAAACGTGCAGCACTTGTGATAAGGAAGTTAGATACAAAACAAAAGTCAACACCAAGCTAACTTACGATTCCTCCCATATAGTTTCCATTCCACCACTGAAAATCCAACATTAAAAGTAACAAACACCTAGGATAGAATCACATTTGCAGATAGAAAATTTGTGAATTTCGTTTTCATATCTAACAGGCTTTAGTCCTGTGAATGCCGCGGCAGACTGTTCCAGACCTACGGGCTTAGCCGAGCTCCAAGTTAATGGAAAGCACTAATAGACATACAAATTTAATATTCCAGATTTAAGAGACTATCTGAAATCCACCATTGCAGCAAGGAGGTTGCTTTGTTTGGAATCATAATTTACATTATTCTTTAGCCTGAAAAGCAATATCAAAATACAGCAATGTGACCTTAAAGAGCTGTAATAAACAGTCATCAGACAGCTTACTGTGGGTAATAGGCCATGAGAGAGCATGCTCCATTACGGTATATTAATTCAATTTTACGATAATTCTCAGCTTATGAAATTACTGCACAGTATCTTTGGCTTAAGTGGTCTTTTTATCAAACATAAAGGCAAATGATTTCTCAGAGGAAGTCTATTCAATGTAATAATTGCTGAAATATTTATGGATAAACAAATGTCAAAGACTTTTGAGAATTACTAGCTCATGTGTACTCAACAAAACCGCTTCCAAAATTGTATTGGTGCAGACTTACTTTAGTGCATTGTCTGTCTCCATTGCACTGCAGGAACCAAAATTTAAAAGATTAAAACACTCAAAATTAGATAGAAGTCTTACTGCCAATTACACTGCCAATTACTGCATAGATCTTAATTTAGCAGGATCACAGATTTTCATGGATTTGTTCCCAGCAACAAGTGTGGGTTTCACAGAACTAACTTTTTTATAAATAGTCTTAACTATCCATCAGAAGTAACAGTCAAAAATCTCCAACTTACTTTCTATAAGAAGTAACAATAATATGACCGTTATTGACTTTGTTAGTGCCCTTGGCAGTAAGCAATTTTGGAAAATTACAATGAATCTTCAAAATTTCTCTACAAATAGCCATAATAGGCACTTTTTCCAGTAATTCAGTGAATTATGAAAAGATGAGATGTTTGAACCAGACAAAATATTAGGCAACTTTTAAGCTTATTAGCTCAAAAAAATAAATCCTTACTTATATATATACTCTCTATCAATAGTAATTGGTATGGTCTAAGGGTAGACGACCTCTGTGTAACTTGACCTCTGTAGATGGTATGGTCTAAGGGTAGACGACCTCTGTGTAACTCAACCTCTGTAGATGACTTTATTTTCACAAGCGATAAAGTTTCACGTTGATTCAGAAGGAGCTACATTTGTAAATTTTAATTATCCTCAAATATAAAATTTCTCAGAAAATATCATCAATATGGAAATTGCAGCCTCTTAATCACTAAATTCAAGAATTCCAGAATAAAATAATAATAAATAATAAATAATAATTTGATGTTCTTATATACCGCTTTATCACAACCTAGTTCTTAGGTCGTCTCAAAGCAGTTCACAAATTATTATCCGTGGTTATAGGGCCTTTGCAACCAGCCAATATCTTTCTCAACTCCCTGAGGAGCATACAGCAGGAGCTGCCATTTCAACACTAACAGCTAGCATTCAACAATTCTAGCACTGCCCAACCACATACTAATTTACAGCTGAGTAGACTGGAATAAGCGGAGTAAAGTATCTTGCTCAAAAATACAACACAGAGCCGTGCCGTGACTCGAACCTGCAACCCTTCGGTCACGAGCCCGGTGTCCTACCACTAGACTACCGTGCCTCTTTAATAAAACCTATAGACAAACAATGAAAAATAAAGAACACACGAAAAGCAATAGCCATAACACACGAGAGTTCATCTGTCATACAAATTGCCTGAATGTAATGTACGTATATATGTATGCATTCCATGAGGGCTTTGGCCTAAGTGAAATATATCTATTCCTAGAAAAAACTTGTGCTGTCTGAGACATCAGACGAACAGATGAGTGGTATTGCTTTTATGACATTTATACTGTTGTTCTTTATAGGGTTATTGTATTTTATACAAAATATAAGTCGTCATAACCTCATATTCATGTTCAATATTTTTCCCGAAAAACCTGAACCGGGCATTGATGTCAGACAAAACAACGTTACCATAACTGAACGTGCTTCAATGTTCAGAAACTCATTTTTGTTTAACTTCGACGATTTGATGGTTGGATAACAACCAATGAGTTCCAGTCAAAAAGAGGTTCTGGTTACTGGGTTAATACAACAATTTGTTTTATTGTGATGTTGAAAACAGAATATCATATTCATGGCCTGACTGTTTCATAATAGAAAGATTCACCAGGTGTGTAACCAAGCAACCTCGAGACTCTGGTAAAAAAGCTATGTAACAATTGTCAGACAGACAATTAAAACAATAGATGAAGCGATAACGAATACTGCTTTGTAGGGCGAGATTTACAAAGTTACAAGAAATCTATTTTAGTTTAAATGGACCCTCAGGGAGGCTCTGCTTTTTATCATGATGTACAAAAAGAAATAAAAATCTTTGCTGATCTACAGTGATTGTTAACAGTTATCTTGGATTGACATTTTGAGTCATCAACTGAGTGAAATGTCCTGTTTTATCAAGGGAGTGCTTACACTGTCCAGAACATATCGATGAAGTCGTAAACATGTTGATGAAGACTCAGCTATACTCTTTTGCTTTAAATCCCAGGTTGGCCTCTTATCAATAAAACCATGACAATAGTGTAATACAAATATCAGTATACCCCAAAAATAGGTCACAGTGACTGATTTTTTCCTACTGCATTCTCCAATCCTAACATGTCTCATTCCACCAATAAAAAAGTCGCTGTATTAAACAGTACAGGAGGTATGGCCCAGACAACAGGAGGTATATATGGCCCAGACAACAGGAGGTATGGCCCAGACAACAGGAGGTATGGCCCAGACAACAGGAGGTATATATGGCCTAGAAAACAGGAGTTATGGCTCAGACAACAGGAGGTATGGGCCAGACAACAGGAGTTATGGCCCAGACAACAGGTCGACCTGTATATTAACTATATAAGATATGACTTGGTATATTAGTTAATTCATTCACCATACCTTAAATTTACCCACAGTTACAGGCCAGTAGACTAATTACACCTACAAACCAAGACTTTTGAAACTATAAGGGGCACCAATAACATCAGGATTGGTAGGATATACCTACATCTTCTACTAAATGCATCTACAACGCAAGGATTGGAAGACTATATATATATATCAATGCACCTACATCCCAGGTGGCTTGAAAGTCTAAATACAACGCAATGCTTGCTTGGCTAAATTTACTTACATCATCAGCCTTGGTGGGCTAAATGTATTTGCAATATCAGGTTTGCAAGGCTAACTTAACCCATTTATGCCTAAAGTCACATTTGAACTTAATCATTAATCATAAGACTTGGCAAGTCCATTTTAAAAATATAGGGGTGAATGAGTTAACATTCATCATCAGGCTTAGACTAAGCACACCTGTAACTCAAGTCACTAAGTAGACTTACATATCTGCATCACTAGATAAGGAATGATAAAAATTGCTGATAACATCAGACTTTGTACATTTCAAGAACATTAAGATGTAATGTGCAGTTTAGATGTCTACATGTGCTCCAGACCTACCTGTCTTCTGTATAGTCCCCATAGGATGATCGTCGGGAATGTAGTTTGGCAAGTTCGCTCCAGGCCGAGTTTGTGCTAAGTAAACCTGGACTATTAGGGGGTTGAAATCTGTCATAGGGACAGGGTGTGAGGTACCCCGGGCTGAGAGGGGGTAGTCGTCCCTCAGACTTGGACAGTCCATTAGAGGTGGTCAAAGGCTGAAGTTGGGAAAAGTTGTCATCCTGAACAAATGTCAATGGGTCACTTGGACGTCTAGAACCTGAAACAAAATAAAAGTCAAAGGTATTACATAGATATACATCCCAAGGAAGGGTCAAAGGTCACTTGGAGGTCTACAACCTGAAACAAAATAAAGGTGAAAGGTGATATGAAGATGTATATCCAAAACATAGGTCACAAAGTCATTTGGATGTCTAAAACCTTAAAGAAGAATGAGGTTTAAAGGCCAAACTGATTTAGATATGCAGAACTCTAAGCCAAGGTCAACGTGTCATTTAGATATGGAGCAAAGGTCAAAAGCCACTTTGATGTCTTGAAGCTGTAACTAGACAAAGGTATAGTGACCAAAGTATCATTGAAATAGAATACTGACGTAAGGGCCAAGGTGTCATTGAGATACGTATAACGTAAAGTGAAGGTCAAAAGCTTGTTTTGATGTTTAGAACATAAAATTAAACAAATTAAGGGCCACTTGAACTTGTATGTCAATAACATGAAGCTGACACAGAAAAAATGCTGACTTTGACATCTATAACCTAAAATCAGACGAAGATCCAAAGGTCTATTGGTTGTCTATAACCTGAAAATAAACGAAGGTCAAAGAGCCATTTGCACGTCTGCAATCTGAAAAAGGGCAAACCTAAAAGGATCTCATTTGGGCATCTAGAGCCTGAACCAAAATAAAGGTCACTTGAAATTGAATGTCCAGCATTTGAAATCAAAAGTTAAAAGTTGACTTTGATTTCCAGATCCTAAAATCAAACTTGATTCAAATGGTCACTTCAACATCAAAACTAACATATACAGCACATTTTCATTTCCGTTACTTTATTGAACAGCACCAAATATAGCAATGATAACCCTCGGTGACTTGCGGACATATGCTGACAAGAAAATCAATTAAAACCGCAGGAAATTAATTGCCAGTAATATTTTCAATCCCTTCTTTCATTTAGATAAGTCAAGATGTTACTGTCTTCCTTAGGATAAAAATACCTACTATTTCATGTGTTAAAGTGTAGCTATCTGACAGACATCATGTCTCGGAGCATAAAAGGATCTTAAATCAAAACATCACATAGAGTTAGATTTCTATCGTATAGCTCACAAAGAAACATTAAGGACATAAAACTTAAAGGAATTTCCAACATCACGTTAGACTTCATATAAAGAGCCTGGAGTATGAAGCTCGTATTGTGTAACGCAAGATGTCCAATCAAAACTTCATACATATTTTTTTTATATATACATACATTGTACATGGGCGTCTAGAATCGCCTTTAATTAATGTACATACTGTTCAAAATATTCTATCAAGTATCAGTATTCGTCATACATATATTTTAACAAATAAGCATTAATTCACATTTTTGATATAAAAAATAAACTCCGGATATATATGTATTCTTGTCCATACTCTATTCTAATTATTATTGTATTATAGTCTAGTGTCTGATTTCCAGTTAAGATGGTGAACAGACTTCGCACAAACGTTATTATACGGTAAATATTAGTATATGAAATGCTTCGTATGGTATAACATCATCCAATTCGCCGAATTAAAGTGCCATGTTAGTGTTATAGTTCTAGAGTATGTGTTGATAATAGTGTCCGAGTATAATCTATTAAAAAAAACATTTTCCTTTCAACACCCCCCCCCCCCCCCCCCACACACACACACACAAAATCATGCTTCAATATATCTAGGTGCTAGTTAATATAGTTAATATACCTTGCAATAATACAGAATTAATTTAAACATGTACCAGGAAGGAAAAACTGAGTACTGCATTAAGCAACAGGAGTCAAGAACCATCAAATAGCTAAAGATAGACTTCGAAATATAGCAGGTTTACTCTTCAAACAGATATACATATATCTATATTAGAAGGCAAATATATAAAAAAAATGACAAATGTCTTTGTCTGCACTGTCGTTATTACTTCTTTGCCCATATATCTATTTAGGTAATATGTATCCAACCAACATTTGTTTGTTTGATCCAGTGCCAATATTGGACCATACTGTCGTTATTACTTATTTGCCCATATATCTATTTAGGTAATACGTATCCAACCAATATTGGTTTGTTTGATCCAGTGCCAATATTGGACCCTACTGTCCTTAATACTTACGAGACCTTAATTAACTATATTAGATTTATATATTAAAGGTTCAGATGATTTTTTTTTTTTAAAAGATAGTATTTGTTTTAAGGATGAGTTCTAAATCTCCATCTTTATATAAGATCAATACTGTACATGTTTCATAAATGTTTTTCATATCACTGCTTATAGAAAACTGACAAAAATGTTTACAAAAAAATCAATGTATAGATGTTTATATGAAATCATTGCCCGATATTGTTTATTTGGCCTAAAGATGTTCCTAGATTGTTGTGCCTACCCTAAAGTTTTTATTGGCATTTAGTGATATGCACTGTTAAAGTCAAAACTCCTGCTCTTTACAAGCCTAATAAAAATATTTAAGAAAAAAAAAAAAAAAATGCCTACCTATACTACCTACCCTGTTTTTTCTGAGGATGATAGCGAAATATAATTTTTGGGGTCTTTTAAAATACACGGAATTTAGGAAGATGAAATACAGAAGTATCTCATTATAATGGCCCTCGTTTCCACCTTCACTACCGCCGGTATATTTCAAGGTTACCACTTCCCTTATACACTTCCCTTGTTATATTGCCACCTCTCTTTATAATGCCAGTTATCCTGCACAAAAGGTGCCACTATAATGATGTTTACTGTATCTTTACATAGTTATATTCTACCTCTATTAGGTTTAATCCATACATATTGAAATAGTTATACGATACTCCAAAAGGTGCAACCTTCAAACACTTCTAAAATATAACTGGCCTTGGATCAAAACTTCATTCCTGTATCAAACCAATACTTTTTGTAACAAAATGCTATTTTGAAAGATTAAAAAGTCTGATAAAAACCCTGCTAGACAGAAGATAGCCAAAAATACAGTAAGCATACAAGAGTTTGAATGTCATTAAACATCTTTCATGGGCACAAAACCTAACCACATGGCCAGGATTTTTAGAAACATTTACCCTCTTAATGAAATTTTATCATTTATAACCCCAATAATAATTCTTCCTATTTAGAAAGATTTTAAGTCATCTTATCTCAATGAAAGTACTACAATAGGAAAATATCACAACTCTTAACCCTGAAGAAAATATTACCCTGTAATTGGGCCACAGCATCCTCAGAAGAGACCGTGATGATAGCCGGGCTGTTGCCACTCATACCTAAACATATCATCCCAGTAGAACTGTGACACGGTGACTAGATAAACCTTCTATTCCCTGTCATTAGGAAAACACAACAGGCGCAATAGTACAACATCTCCCGTTTCTGTTAAACGCTCGGAATAAAGCTAGAAAGGGTAGGCGATTGATATACATTACAGCTATTCTGCGACTCGAGTATCAATCTGGATTCGTCTGACGGTTCCCTGTGGACTTTTAACCCTAGAGTTTCCGCCTCTGTACCCAACACCTGCCTGTCACAAACTGATCTCCCCAGGTGCCCCGGGGCAAATACACATTTCTGAAGTGACAAATTCCAACTTGGGATTTCTGACATTTCATTAGATTTACTATCCTATTGTGTGTCAACTGAAGGATTCACTCTTTGTTAAGCTTGGAGATACACCACACATTAATGCAAAAATAATATAAAATTTACACAAAATGACATTTTATTGAAAAATAATATGTTACAGCCGTGAAGCCAAATTGCTTTTTACGAAAGAATATTTCTCTTCTATCCAAATGTCAGATTTAATCTGACACAGCCTTAGAAAAGTGTCACAACACACCAATATTGGTATTAGATCAAGGGCAATAACTTTAAGAGATTGGTTATGGATATGATTTCAACAGTAATAGTATCTCCCAATTGTGATATTGGAACCTACTATAACTCTCATAATTTTTGTGAGTGTGTTCTTGGTGTTATTTTACTTGATGTATTTGTAAGAATTTTTCCGGCCAAACAATATAGGTAATTGTAGTGTAGTCTATACATGTGACATTTTGTATCAAAACACTTGAACCATCATTCTAGTGCTGTGTCTTCCATTGGACTGTCTTTTGGGGACTAATACCCTGCTACATTTCATGCAGAAGAGACTTTTCTATTTATACAATAACAGTAACCTTCCCTTTCGGCTCAGGACCTTGGAACATGGGCTATCATAGTAATGAGCACTTTACGAAGTTTCCTGACCCTGACTTTTATCAAGATAACCATAGTATTACACATTTTTATCCATATCCAAATACAGTATGCTTCCCACTCCCCTCTGGAAATTAGAGTCACTGCCTGAAAAATTACAATAAATAGTAATGGTGACCTCGGCCTTGACCTTGGAATCTGTTCAGAAACAAAGTTTCTAGAGTTATGTCAATGAATTGGTTGAATAGTTATAGTGACCTTGGCCTTTGAACCCAGAAATACCATCTCATTTGGCTGACCTTCATCTAAAATCTTTTTAAAAATCTGTTATTAAGTGATGGATCATTGAGAGTGAATATGGACAGGACAAGATGGGATATATTTAGGTTTCAGCTATATTCTCCCTATAACATGGCAGGGACATAAACATAATACACTGGTATATAGGCTTTAAAGTCATGACACCTAGAAGTGTAACATACAGACAAACGTTGGCAAAGCCACATGTTATGCGCCCAGGCATAAAACAAGAGTATCAGGTGAACTGATGTATGTTCCCCGAAAACAACTTTATTGGACGCTTTCCTGTTTGTAAATTTTGCATTTGGTTAGATTTATGACACATATTGGTAAAAATAGGTTGAGTTTGGAAGAAGAAAAAAACTGTTTTAACATACCTACATGTATATGTGTCTGATATTTTAGCAAAGGGCAATAACTCTATTATTAAGGGGCTGCAGACCCTGAATACGGTATAGTGCACATCATCTTAGTGTAACTGATGTACACACCAAGATTCATGATCCTAGTCCATTCTTAACATGTTTAA